AAAAAAAAAAAAGAAAGAAAAACGTCCTGTGTAAGCATCGAAGTCATGGTGCTTGAAACTCCAGCCAACGCGATCAACTCAATTCGAGTAGCACTATTTTTCTTCTCCCGTCTATCATTGCAACATGCTTACCTTTGTAGCCCACAAAGGCAGATCCATAGCTCTTTGGAAGTTGAATAACCCTCTGTCTGTTGTGCTGAATCCAAATTTCCTTTTCAGGAGCATGTATCTCACAAATAAGAGGATGACACTGAGAGACAGGTGGCACCTGTGTTGTGTGTTGTATCCTATACCATTCCGGCCTCAACCCATATCTGTTCAGTTGTACAAACATCCCATCAGTAGAGAATAGAAAGTTCGTCATTCTAAGTATCGACATCGAGTGATTATGAGTGTGAGGAAACTGCAAATCGCTTGATATTACCTCATCCGGATTGTTTACCGGGAGGTGTTTTTGATTGGATAACAGAAGACGCTGATAACGAGATCCTGAGTGATCCGCGCTATATATGGTAATTGTGCGAATGAAGTTCCCAAACGAACAGAATACCAGGAGCATCGATTCATCAGGAGAGAATGATAACCCTCTAACTCCTTCTGGTATTTCCAGTTCCCCTTTCAAGACAAAGCCATCTTGAGATAGGACACTCACGACGGAATCGGAGGCGATGGCTAGAAGCTCAAACCCTGGCGCAAATGCAAACGCGTCTATCAATCGACCCCGAGGTGGTTTGAAAGTGATCAAGTGCTGAAGGCCATCCTGCAGATTCCAAATGTTCACCGTATTGCGAAGAATAAAGGCCATCGTCTTCTTATTCATCCAAATAGCCCTTATGTATGGAATATTAGTTTTGGGCGGATTGTATGAGCTTGTGTATGGCATAGAGACGGTGGGTGGAAATTCAAACTCGGGGCTCGCACATGGTTCCAGCACCCACACGTCAAGAGCAGCTTTACCCGCAATCACAAATGACGTCCCATCCCTTGAAAAGCACATGGTACACTCGAAATCCTTTTTAGATGCCAGGGGTGTTGAGTCATCAGGAACCAGAACTTTGTAGAGTCTACACTCTGGAAAACGCCAAAGCAAGAAGCGGTTGCCAGTCACTGATACCAAATACTGACCATCGGGTGACATGGTGATCATAGTTGTATTGCTGATATCTTCGATTCGCATCGAACTTTCCAGTACCACGTCGATAGTCGCTCGCTCGTCATGTAAGGTTGATTCAGGCCTTTTTCTATTATCTTCGGTGCTCCAAAGCCAGAGGTCCTTTTGATCCAGTGCTGCGACTGTCACTTCATCAGGAAATACCAATATTTTTGACCATCGAGGGCCTTGTAGCGTATGTACAGTCCTGGTACAGGCGTCATGGATAGAGAATACAGTTAAGGATTGGTGATTCAGAAAAAAGAGCCGTGTTCCATCCCATGAGAACGCAAGAACACTGGACCGGCCACACTCCGCCACATCTGAGAGAAACTCTATCTTTGTGTTCGCCAGCGTAACGGTCTCGTTAGCCACGAAAGCGACTTGACATGAGTCTCGGGAAATCGCGATGGCTGAAACACTACCCTTCACCTCCTTCAAAAGTGAAGGCCGACCGGCCATAGTGTCCCAAGCATATACTCCAAAATCTTCCGGCATTCCATAAGTCCTGCTGATAGGTTGGACCATGGCCACTACACCAGTAGGTGATATTGCCGCAACGCCGAGGATTGTTGAGCGCTGAGAGCGCAAGATAATGGGATCGTCGTGTAAAAAGTCATGCCTGTAAACGGTTCCATCATGGTCAAGGAAAATGAGGTTCGCTCCATCCTTTGTCCAACACATAGCTTTAACGAAGGTCCGGGTTGGAAGTCTTGCAACATGGGCTCCTGTCCGAGTCTTCCGTAGTTCAATATAGACATTGGCACCCTGTTTCGCCTGTGGGTCAAAATGAGATGAAGCCAGTAGCCTACTATCCGGGGACAACGCAACGGCGCTAACACCGACGCTTCCGGATGCCAGATGTATATGCTGCAGAACGGCGTTCCAATCTTCAGACAGGTTCCGTACATTGTGACAACCTGCAAGTCTAGTTTCCCAGAAGGTGTTTCGTACAATGCTATTTGTCGGGCTGAACAATAAGGCTGAGCTATATATTTGCCTCGGAGTTCTTTCAATCATCTGACCATGCTTCAATAAGAAACGATAAGAGTCATATAGGAACCGTCCGAGATTGTCTTTTGACTAACCAGAAAGCTTAAGTCAGTGGAGCTTACTTTCAAAAATGCTTATACGGACCTTGTTCGTCGCTCGCAAATCTTCGATAGCCGATGTTGCACTGTCAAGTCGACCAAGAAGCGCCAAGCATTCGGCCCATTGTAAAAACTTCTTGTGAAGAAATGATTTAACGGAAAGATCCAAGGGGTCCGTACCAACAGCTTTTACTAGGTGGTAGACCCAATACGTGGAAGCGTACCGGAGGCTTTCGGGGATGCACCTCTGGATTGTACTATACTTGATCTCCACTCGTAATACTCCTGGATCTTGTAATTCACAAATATTCTCTCTCAGCCTTTTGTCAAGATGCGTTAAGCAACCTTGCGCAAGAAGCTCATTTTGCTTCCCCTTGTCAACGTTGAACCAGCATGTATTGTGCGGAATTTGCCTCAGCAGGAAGTCACTAAATGATTTGTGCAGCATCTGAATCGGCTCATCGTCGTTCTCGGGGATGTATAACACGGCACGGCATGTCTTTACCAGCTCTATTGAATCTGGGTCAATTCCTAGAATATCGACAAGCGAGTTCGCCGACATTGGCTCGACTGCAAGAGCGATTGCACCGAGGATCATTCGAAGAGTATCTTTCTCATCGTGCATGAGATTCTCTGAACATTCAGGACCCAGATCGGGGTCCAAACTTTTGAAGACTGTTTTGTACATCTCGTCGAGCTGTGTAGTGAACGTTGTACCAACCCCTGTCTCAATCCAACTTTTCAGCCGTTTTTTGGGGATGCTGATTCGTGACCCATCACCCAAGAAACGGAGGAGGGTTGTAGCGTAGATGAACAGGGGGGATGGGTTGGTCGATCGATGTACCGCCTCACGAAACTGCTCTTCTGTTGGCCAGGTCTGCTCAATCCCTCTCTCGTTCCTGATCCTCTGAAAGCCAATCCTCAAGATGAACTCAATGTCTTTGATGTTGTCGTCGTGATAGGTTGTGGCCAGCAGTAGTTTCTCGTGTGGCTGGCGTGCAATCGCGGCACGTATGACATCCTCGTCGCGGCTGGTGACTAGAAGGCGAAACTGCACCATATTCAACTGCTTCAAGCTGACCAAAAGATCTATGAGCCTATGCACTTGAACGAGATCGACACATTCATCGAGTGCGTCGATAATGATAACTTTGGTGGAAAGAATATGGCCCACTTGTGAGAGGGGGCTCTTGAGAAGCACCTTGAACTGTTCATCGAGACGCATAGTTTCGAAGTCCACGTTCTTGCAGGCATCGACGGAAGCTCTTAAGCATGGTTCAAAATGAGGAATCGAGCATAGGAGCTGCGCCGCGATGGTGGGAATTACGTGAGATATCTGGTTACGGCTCACAGCTCCTCGCCTAAAGAAGTATCCAGCGGCAATTTGGCCACTTTCGGTGAGGTCCCTGGCTATTGTCCTTGCCAGAGTAGACTTTCCACTTCCAGCATGGCTACAGATCCAGAGCAAGGGTTCCTTGCCGTTTCCAATCCAGTTGTGGATGTATTCGATAGCCCGAGCCTGTGTCCCTTCCTGGCATACTGGGCTTTGGAAGACGTCTTGACTATCAAAACGTGCTTTGCCAAAAGCAGGAAGTTCAATGCGAGGTCTTCCGATGTCTTGGATCTCGCGTCTGTAGCTTCAGTCAGATGTGTGGTCAGAACAGAGCGAGATGGATTGTCGTACCTCAGTTTATCGACAAGACATTGCCCAATATTGTTCGGAATATCCTGATTCAGAAGACTGATAAGGACTAGTTCCAATGTCTCCCTGGGAATAGATTTCCCCTTAGTATCTGTTCCAGCAACGCCTGGAATCCTTTCTGCTAAGCAACTTATACTCGATTCAAACTCTGGTCCTTCGGAGGCTGACGAGAGTTTCTGCATGAGTTCCATCTCGTACGTGTCAATGGCTTTCCCCTCGAGCTTGTGCCTCTTGTAATAGGTGCAGAGCGAGTAGCAGAAAGCAAGGCCTTTGGTGAGATCAATGACAATCTCGTCTCCCTGTGATAACTCCCCAGCTTCTTCCTTGTAAAGTAGCGGATGAGCGATCTTATTATACAAGTTGGCGGGAAGACTTGTGATCTGGGTCTCGAATATGATCCCGTTGTAACAGCTCAATGGGTCATCCTCAGCGTACTTGGCACTAACATGGTGGTTTTTGCACTCATAAGCTCCGAACCAGGTGTTCCACGACCGGCCCACCTTCCGGCTGGCAGAGAAGATAGTGGGATCTCTTTCCTGATGGAATGTGCCAGTCACAAACTCTGAAACTGCCTCAAGATGGTCAAGGTAGTCGACGATAATGCGAATACCAACCAAGTCATGTAAGTCGTGAAGGATCTCATGAATATCCTTATACGATCCCTGACCTCTCTTTTGCCGGTAGATCTCTCGTCTGTCGAGGGATTTAACGATAGAGGCGCGTGATTTGACGCGACTTTCGACTGCTGCTGGGACATCACGGCGAGTAAGCTCTTCCTTACAAACCGATGCCAGCTCATCTGCCAATTTTTGATACTCTTCCTCTACCTCCGACCAGACACATCCAATAAAAGCATCCTTGGGATCATGGCCTGTCTTCGTTTCGTCGATCACCACACAGAGACGGCGATGTAGCGATGGAAATTGAGCTGAATCCTCGACTTTGGGAGAACCCCGCTTGAGCGACATATTTGTAGTACCGATCAGATTTTAGGCCTTATGGGGATAGGTACTATTATGTAGGTAAGCATTTGTTGAGTTTAGAAACAGAAACACCAGAGCGGGTGTAGTTTATTGGAGCAATATCACAGACTCTGTAGGGTTAGCAAAATGACAGTTCAACTCTAGAAAAATAACAACTCAGCTTATTGTTCCATGTCGGCGGACACCTGGCTTGCAAGTAATAATCATATCATGTCCGCGCCGTAGGTCCTCTGTGGCTGAGGCCCAGCCGCCACACTTGTTCAACCATCATTGGATAGTCAAAATAGTCCTACTTCTACCACGCAGGTGCCCCATTATTAGATCAACGTAATTTCATTATATCAGTCACTTCGCACCAATGCCTCACGCCAGATAAAGAAGAAGACTTTATAGGACTCACATTGAGAGATTATTAGTAGCCAGATAATTTAATGAATGCAAGCAGATCTATCAATACCGTGAATCTATATTAGCCCTTATATACGGGAAAATTCAGTGATATTACCTGTGAACTGTACATCACCCACTGATAGCTACAGGATCCGTAACAACACGGGTCCATGCGGATCTATAGAATCACAGGGCTTCAGCTCTTCTTGATTCAAGAAGCCAACCGCAAAGAACTGCTGTTATTGGTTTAATCCTCCCGTGTTCCGGGCAGGGATTGGGGTCCTGTTAGAGGCATGATCGTCAGTTGGGACACGGGAGAGTAATAAACCCTGTATGATCTAGCGGGTTGACAGGCATATTGTAAGGTAAATCCTTGTCTGTCTCCATCTCCATCCTTGCAGGGACCAAATGTAGCCAACGAGAGACTGCTATCTGCGCTCAGGCCTTCTGGACCTCAGAGCTGAAAGTCTTCATGGACTGAGAAATCATGACAAGCTTGCAGGTCTATATCAACAACTCGCAAGTACCTATTTCTCTTCCTTTCTCCGTCTTCGCCTTTTCGACTTGTATTCAGATTACCGTTGACAAATTATAACAATGAGCACTTGTGTCCCTCCTCAATCTGAGGCACAGCCACCACGAGTGGATGAACACCCTAATGCTCAGGATCTTCGAGACGCTATCTTGAACGACAATGTGGATGGATTGCGAGAAGTCTTGGAAAGACACAAAGATCTCTTCAATACTATTTTTTCCTACGATTTTCAAGAGGATGGCATTGATATTTCACTCCAACTTTCCGCTTTACTTTTCGCAGCGGTAACGGGCCGCATACTCGTGGTCAAAGTTCTTCTAACTGCAGGAGCCGCTGTTAATACAGCCATACCCGAAATTGGAGGCAACGCCTTGCATTTGGTCGCTCGTTATGGTTATGAAGCCATCGCGAGACTACTGATTGCCAGAAAAGCAAATATAGACCAGAGTGACAGAGCTGGCAATACCCCGCTACATTTAGCTTGCAAGTACCACCATATCAATGTCATTCATTGTTTTCTTGACAATGGCGCGATTAGGATGCGCAACAGAATGGGACGCTCGCCCTTTCATATCGCCTCTACGTCTAAATGTGCCTGCGTTCTAGATCTCTTATGGAACAGAGGCCCGACATCTCAAATCTCAGAAACAGATTTGGACCTCAACCAGCCATTGCACCTGGCCGCGATCAGCGATAGTGCCTGCGCGGCACGATGGCTATGCAAGAGCGGGGCCCCAAGAGTCGGACAGAACTACCGCAAGGACAACCCGCTGGATGAGGCTTGCGTGGCTGGTAATCTCAAGGCGGCCGAAGCTATTCTCCAATCCAGCGATGACAGCATCCTACAAGAAGCTAATGGTTATGGCTTTACGCCCCTCCTCTTGGCATGTTTCAACGCCTGGCCTCGGATTGTCGAACTTCTGCTTGGCCGTGGGGCCCTGGTCAGCAACACCACCCCTTCCTTTCTCTCGTGTTACCACCTTCTTGCTTTGAACAAAAGAACCTTCAGTCAAGACCACCGAGATATTGTCGACCACCTACATGGTAGGGGAGCAGACATTGATATGGTTAGCCGCAAAGGCGACACACCTCTTATTCTAGCATGCAGAAAGGGCAAGGTTGGTATGGTCCGGATGCTTCTCCAACACGGAGCCAGAATCAATTTCAAATCTAAAGAGAGCAGTGGTCTGCTGGAAGCTAGCATACAGCAAGATGTTGATGTCCTTGAAGAAATTTTGAAGTGGAAACCCGACATGTCCCACAGAAATAATCATGGACTCACAGCTGTGTCACTTGCTTGTCGATTCGGACGAGTCAATAACCTGAAGCTACTCATAAAGCACGGCGCCGACGTCTTAATGCCTACGATTGAGGGTTTGCCACCCTTATGGATTGCAACAAACTTCAACCACGTCGAGGCAGCACTTGAGATCCTCGGGACACAGTTCTACTACCCAGCTAATCCTTTGGACGAAAGAGATTTTCCGAAAGAGGACCATTGCAGAGCCTCAATTGCCAACGGCCTACTCCATGGCTTTGACAACAACAAGATCAGTGGGCTGGATGACCGTCGACATGTCATGTACTGGGCAGTCAGATCAGGTTGCTTGGAACTTACGAAAAGATGTATTGGCCACCAACAGGAGGGCGAAAGGGAGACGCTAGAGCTACTGCAGGGTGACCAGTGGAAGTCTTCCACCTGGCTACATGTAGCAGCACGGTTCGGACATCATCAACTTGTACGAGAATGCTTTTCTCACGTCCCTTCTCTGAAGAAAGCTGCTTATGGAAAAAGTCCCCTTCACTTGGCAGCTGTGAGTGGGACAATTGAAGTCGCAGTCGTTCTTCTCCAACTAGTATCTGAGCAACACGGTGTAGAAGCAAAGATCCACGCAATCATAGAAGCGGACGATAGCGGCGAGTCACCATTGAGTTTATCTGTGAGACGAGAGACAGGCGCTCACCAGGGCCTTGCCAAGCTCTTTTGGAGCGAGCTCGAAGCTCTAACTACCATCAGTTACAAGCACCTACGATCGGACATCAACACGGCCTCAATTATCCTAGAGACACTGGCACGATACGAGAGACCTGGGCGCGAAAGGATTCTTGAAGGTGTTCTCAAGCAATGGTGCTCAAGTAGTAGCATCGTCACCGGTTACCCAAGCACGGCACTCAACTGGGCAATAAACAATGGGCAGGCTATTGTTGTCTGGTGGCTCTTATCGAAAGGAGGGTACTCATCGAAGTTTACAATCCACCAGGCTTTTAATCTGGCAATCGAATTGGACACAGACCCAATGGATACTGCCAGGCATCTCATAACTGACATGCTGAAGACTCCGCCACCTATACTTGACAACGTTCCAAATCCCAACGACGACCTGCCCCCATGCATTCCAGACGGGAACGAGGACAAGGATGATGTTTGTTACGCAACAGTTGTCCATATCCACGAGGACGGAGCAGTAATCAACGCTCATTACGCCGAGGGAAGTATTCACGACATGATCTATAATGAAAAACAAGGCCCGAGCAGTATTATGACCCATTACAAAAAGAGTTTGGGTCTCCGGGGTCTAGAGTCGTTGAAGAGCCGTTTGTCGTGTCCGCCACTGATTGGGAAGGACTTTGGTACTGCTGCCTGTCGGAGAAGTCAGTCCGCCCCTGTTGACTCTTTTCCAAAGAGAAGCCCAGGCTGCGACGACAACACGCTGAAGGTTCAATGGATCCACCTTCCTGTAAACAAGGTAAAAAGCAATAAGAACAGTCCGAGAATCATGCTGACCGTGTGATGACTAGCTTCATCTGATGAGGGTAAGGTTTTGTTCCTAGTCTTCCTTGTCATATATCTAACAATATTGAAGGACCTATCAACTCGAGTATCACACGACACAGGGAGGTCGGAAATGGACCATAACAACATGATAAGTCGTTTCAACCAGAGTTGGACTGAGATACCTGCTGCTGCAGGACATCTTTATATGAAGCCACAATGCGAGGTTCGTTTACTACCTATCATCTGACGTACTGATATTAATGCATATCAGCGTGCCAGAACCCTCCCGTCCGGCAGGGTAAACGAGCAAATTGTTGAGAATCATGTGACGAAGGAGACTCCTGTAGCTCTTTATGTAAGAAACCATTGATGAACAGACACCAGTCAACCTGACCTCTGCCAAACAGATGCCGTACCTCACCTTAGGCAATAAAAGCCCGGGACATCGTACTAGAGAGACTCAAACGTTTGAAAGTTTCAATGAACCGATTCACGGTCGCAGCACTAGGAGCATTACACATATTCCTATCACGTTAGATCAGTACTACTACCCTGTCTTAGATGACACCAGTATTAGAGACGAGGATCAAGTCATGTCAAGATACTGGGAGAATAACGAAGACAACGGCAAGGACGATTCCACAATCAAGCGGGAAGAAGTTACATATAAATCACGAGACCAGGAGGGACAAGACTTACCGGGACCTACAGATGACAAGCGAATTCTGATGATCAGTCAGTTATGGATCTGGATCGTTGACGAGAGTAAGCTTTTGCTAAAGTGACCAAATACCAAACGTACAATAAACTGACTATGAGATAGCGACTATCATCACTGCCACGGAGGAAACTTCAATCATGAAAGATGGCTTCCTCAAAACCGTCCTGGATAGTATGAGGAATGGTGAAGCTGGTACTCGGTTCGCAAGACCCACCTCAGTACACGCTATGATGGAATTGATGCTTGATGTGGCTACCAGCTTCACAATCTCGGACTGTGTGCATACTTCTAAATCCACAATTTCACCCATTGATGTTTTCCGCGAGTCAATCAAGGACGTGGTATGTAGCAATTCGACAGGTCATAGGCAAAAGTTGCGAACTGACAATCGATTAGGTAAATGAAGAAACAAAGCTCTTCAACGCCTTTCTGAAAGAGCTTAAGGATGACACGGCCAACAGATCTCAACAAAGGGGACAGTCTGGGAGGCTCTTTGGAATATATGAAGTCCCGCCAAACCCAAACCACATTATCCACCGTGAAGCTGAGCTTCTTCGCGAGATTCGAGATATTCGAGACGAGCTGGGCATGCTCAAGGCACTCCTCGAACATCAAGAGACTGTATGGAAGCAAGCATTTGACACTGAAGAGTTAAGAGGTTGTTTCCAGTACCATCATCCTTGGACGCCGACGGATATCAAGGAAGATCTGGATGAGATACTTGCCGAAGTTGAACGGACAATTGACTCGGTTAGTAGTATGAGAAAGCTGTCTAACTGAGCTAACCGGACTATTAGATCAATACTCTTCTTGACCTACGAACAAAGCAAGCTAGTATCAAAGACGCAGAGTATGGAAGGATCCAAGCCAATGACGAGGCAAGGCAATCCAAGAGTGTTTTCATCTTTACCATTGTCACAGTCGTCTTTGTCAGTTTGCAGCGCACTCAAGATTTATGTCTACTCATCTGACGTTTCCCAGCTTCCACTCTCGTTCTTATCTTCGCTATTTGCATTGGACGTTTCTAGTTTCCCACATGAATCAGGCAATCTCAAGTACAAACCAGAATGGATTTTTCCAATAATCTGTAAGTGTTAATTATCTTTATTACTTCAGGATACTAATGAAGGTTTAAGTTGGCGTAACAGCTATTGTTTCTATTCCAGTTATGATCTTTGCATGGAATGTCAATTCTATCTCGCGGCAGTTGAGGCCCGGGCCCGAGCCCGAGAACACTCCGGCTCCACCTCAGGCTGTGGGAGATCGCCAGAGAACTGCTGAGACAGGCATGAAGAAAATTTTGAGACAGCGGTCCAGTTGGCGAAAGAAGGAAGATAACCCAGTGTGAAGAATAGTGTCTTCTTAAATCCCTATAACTTTCCGATCTGCGTGTTACGCTATACATGATTTCAGCCTTCGTATTACATACAAAATCTAAAGACAGAAATAAGATAAAAACAGCTGCTACCCTTTCAGACCAGATGCATAGGCTATATGTAGCCGCATGCTTTAAATGCTGTTAATATTACTTTAGGTAATAGCGTTGACTTGTTCGATCGTAATTAGATAGTCATATCTCAGAGAGATATACTTCTGCCAATCAATTCCATCATTAGACAAACAGAATTTTATCAGAAGGCTACTTGACCCTTTTTAAGCTACTAATATCCCCTTAGTTAGGCGCTGGCTGACATAAAACAGGGCCTGTAAAGGTCCCGGCTAAAATCGACAGAAACCTAAGGAATTGTTAAAGTGTATGGGAATATTAGGATGCGCAACTTGTGCGAACTAGCTAATCGGGACAGAGGGCGAGAATTCATTATACAAACTGCATCTTGATAACTAGATAGAAAGAGATTATGCTATCAGATAAAATGGGGTTGAAAGTCTTATCCTATGATATTATGGAATTACTTCAAGAAAAACTGGATTTTCAGGTAACCGGTTTAAGGAGGTATAGACATCATAGTACTACCTTCACTATGGTAAAAATAACATACGATACGCCCAACCTGTAAACGCCATGTCCACCAGTACAGGTACAAACATAACAATACTCACAATCTGCCCAAATCCCCATTCGTTACCAACATACTGTCCACCAAGTCCTTGCATCATTTCTGCCTGGATATGTCTGAGACGAAAGATGCAATATAGCAAAATACCATCTAAGGCAGCTGGGACCAAAAGAAAGATTATTATCAGTGCTTTGGACCTTTTCCATACGCGCCCAATCCTTCCCACGACTAGCACCAAACCAGCATTAAACGCACTCATATCTTCCTCCTCGAGTTGCATCCTCTGGATGTGTGCAGTAACTAGGTGCCACAACAGGAACAGATAGATCAGTAGAGAGGAAGTCATCTCTGTTGCTCCAAGGAGTTGGGACTCCCAGAAGGCGAGATATTTGACGTTACCAAAACACACCTTTTGAACCCTATCGAACTCTTCGACTGTTACCACTGTTTCTCCCCCGGGACCTTGACCGTCTCCTATACGCGACGGAGCCCAGTTGTGTATTGCTTGAGACACAAACGGATAAAAGAACAGAACACTCAACATAGAGAATAAAAGCAAGCGAAAATGGTATGAATCCCTCTTGCTCTCACGGCTCCTGTCGGATGCTGATTCAGGTGAGTGTTCGGGATGTGCTTGGTGAGTTGGCAACAGTCCGACCGGATAGACCAGAGGCAATACGGAGGCATTTGACATAGCCAGGGCAATTTCGGCTTCGCAGGCACCAAATCCAGAAGTCGTTACGCCAAAGTCTTTATTGACAAGCACAACGATGGTGGCAATTAGCATTGACAGGGCAAAGTAGATCGCGAAGTTGAAGAATGCCTCTAGGCCGGCCGACGTCACAAACTGCAGGAATGCCCATTTTCGGCCTTCATTCGTTCGTGTAGTTATGGCCATTGTCGCAAGGCCGAAGCCGAGGAAAATCTCCATGATATAACCAACCGAAATCTATCAGTGTAAGTAAACCAATGTGAAGTCAGCCGAGTTCGGAGGTAAAGTTCTGCCTACTCCGATGCCCGATATATCGGGGTTTCCAGTACCCCAAATCGCATTGCAAATATTGTCTCGGCAGACAGTGAGGTTATTCGTATCAAAGTTTGTTTCAGTTCGTAGCTGATCGATGTATCCATTAAAGCCGCCCAGCGACATCAATTTGGTGCAGTTAGGTGTTATAGCCATAGCTCCGATATTGATATCCTCTCTGACCTGAACGTGCGTCTTGGTTCTTCAATTTAAGTATGTAAAGTGTACTCTGCCCGTCTGAAGCCACCATTGTTCAGCTGAGACATGAGGGCGAAATGACCGAGTAGGGGTCAAGCCACATCTCACCACGCCTCTTAGACTATTGAATTGAGCGCAAATCTATTGGTTAGATCAAAAGCCACAAGGCATTCTAGCCCTTGAGAGTGCGCCTCAAATTCAGCCTAGACTTGACATTGCCAATGACAATGGGGAAACATGTCAGTAGTATAAGCCACTTCTCTACAGCTCGCTAGCAACCCTGCAAAAAACCGACCGACCAACCGTTCTGCCGCTTTTGAGGGAGCTCACAGTAAATATTAACATGAGAATTTCCGGCAGCTGATGCTGAGCCCCCTTCCACTCGCCAAGGCCGATCAAGACTTCTCGTCATCGTCGCTTCCACCGGATTAAAGACTTCCAGATTTCTTCGCGCAACACTAGAGTTCCCACCATGCGGTGCTATTGTGCAACGTATAAAATACTTTTGGTCACTGCTCTCGTTTGCCTTCTGACATTTGGAGAGTCTAAGCCTGCCTCAATCAACCGTGTCGCTAGCACTTCTGTATCACGGTGTCTCAAGAACGCGCCTCGTATCACCGAACCACCTATACCAGGTCCGATCGAATTGAAAAAGGTCAAAAGACAGGAGTTGGGTTCCGACACATGTGCATATATCAATGGCAAGCCGCAACATGCATGTTCCTTGTACTTCATTTGCTAACTGAGATAACAGATAAGCCTTTTACTTGTGCTGGTTCTGGCCTCTGCACATCCCTAAGGCGTGAGTCAATCGACTACATTGGATGCTGCTATGGGGAGGGCGATTGCGATATATATACTGGCTGTTATGATGGAGAGGCCACTATGGGAACCAGGACGACTGGCCCGCATATCCTCTCCTGGTGAGTATCTAAAAGTAATCCCAAACTTTGGAATACACTGACCCTATTATCAGTCTTGGGACAAGGCCCTTCTGCGCTACTCTATTATGGCCACAGGAGCCCAAGACTGCATATATGTGTGCTGAGCAACCCAGTACGATAACCGTCGATCGGACCGCAGATTCCCCAACTCCGAGTTCAACTAATCAAGATCAATCTACTGCCTTTGAACCAACATTTGGACCAGGCCCTCCAGACATTACAGGTGCTCCTCCATCGCCTGGAGGTGGACCAAGACCAATCGCAGGTTAGCTAGTTCCACCCCCAACAACTTTCCCTAATCGTACTTACAAGCAAATCAAGACCTTACAAAAGGTCAGAAGATAGGTATTGGCGCGGGATGCGGTGCAGTGGGTCTGCTGTTTGCCGCTGCGCTAGGGTATGTCTGACTTGAAATGACGAAGTTCATAGAAACAAGTTAATACTAATCTATGATATAGGTACTGCTGTTGCTGCTCAAAGAAGCGAAGGCAAAAGAATGCTCCCAAGAATGTTTCTGAGACTCGCATAGTTACAGCTAGCGAAGTGTTAGAAACTAAGCCAAATGTAACAGAATCACTTTAGGGTTATAGTACTATACTACTTGCAGGTTACATATCACATATAGCGGGGCATAACCAACTCTACATAAGCAGTGACGTTTATAAAATCTGATAGCTACTGGGAGACACAGAGTAATCCATACCCTGAGAATGCAGCCGAGAATTGGTACCCTGTTCTAGTAGCGAATTCGTAGGTTGTAAAGGAGTGATAATTCATTACTAAATGTGGAATCTATCTCTTTCTGTGAGCCCTTGTAGTGACACAACACTTTCAAGCCAGTAGTATGACCCTGTAGGTAGTTAGTTTGTGTACACTCGCATCCAATCAAGTTTCGACCCCCGGACATCCGACGTAAGTGCAATCTTCCCCATATTGTCATCTGGCTGAACGTCCTGTATCTGTACATGGAGGTTCTTTGTGAACTTGATTCGATCCTGTGAGCTTACCCCACTGCTAACATCTGAAGACTCATTGTCAATCTTGACAAAGGGAGAATCGCGTATGAGCCCATCGACACTACCCAAGAAGTCCGGGGCTATGATGAGATGTCTGATAATTGCATTGGAAGCAGTGCAAGCCAGTAGAATGAGAGTTGATCCAATGGAAATGGAGAACCATGCTATGTTCAGAGTATACACGGGCTCTCTGTACTCTTTCCAAGTGGCGGTAAAGTCATGCCACATGTCATTCCGCTGCTTGAGGCTTGTACCATCTGTACCTGTCAGAACGCTGTAGTTATATGACGCCATAATGAATGTGTTGAGCGCTGTGGCAAGTCTGGCCTCGAAGTCCCGTCTGGATACGTATGGATAACAGGCTGCATACATGTTGTCCTTACGATGGTTCCCGAGTTCGAAAGCAGTGGGAGGATTCCTTATGTATTTTTCCAAGAGGCTAGGCAGAAGGGGATTGTAAGTCGCCGTAATGGACGGCATCTCAAATGATATTCCGCTCGCAACCTGGTAATCCGATAAGTCAGAATATATTGAGGAGAACTCCCTGATTGCACTTCGTCGGATCTTTGTGGCTTCGCATTTAAGGTCGCTGATGTCATCTAACCTTGTGCAATCGACAGCAATATCCACGTACGACGTACTGACGTTGCAAATACGAATACCGGTATACTGACTTCCAAGTTCGTCAAGGCATTGGCCTCCAACAAGTAGTTGCAGCTCAGACGACGGCTCGAGCGTCTTGGAGCTATTAAAATGAGCGTTCGTTTCGTCGTTCTTCAGGAAATCCAGCCACAGACTTGGCTTCGTCCCAGTATTACGCCCTCCTTTGTAGTCTAAATGTTCAGGAGCACCAACGGTCGCGTTGAGAATGTTTTTATGAAAGTAAACTGGAGGGTATTTCTCGGCTTGCATCCAATTCGTTCCATTGATACGATTGGTGCATTGTAGGGTCTGATAACGAGAATGCAAAATCATACTCGAATTGCCTGCCCATGGACGAGAACCCTCACGTATAGGGATTCCGATGAAGGAGGAAAAGGGAGTGATTTTGTCCTGTGGAACTGGCGTCCACACATCCGAGTTCCTGGAATCATATCCATCGAGGTATTCCATGAAGGGAACGCGAACATTGTGCCACATGTCTTGCCTACCAAGGCGAGCTGCCTGCGGATAACCGCCTATTCCCGACAAAGCTGCTTCAAATCCAATGTTGGACTGATTGGCATGCGATACCAGGATATCGGGACCAGATAGTGCGGAGATAACCACTCTTCGGAAATCAGGAATTGTCGACATGGAGGCATTAACAGTTCCAAATGCGTTCATGTCGCCCATGAAGTTCCTCGTGGGCAGCGTGAAGTACTTGAGTGGCACCTGGGAAAAGTAGTGTATCGCAGGTATCTCGCTAATTTCCATGTTTATCTTCAAACTCAGGGAGCGTACTATCGCTTGGCCGCCCAGTGGACTAAGACACCAAACTGCTACAGTCCCTATCGTCCAGAAGTTGAAGTGTTGCAATGTAAAGAGATTCTTGAAAGCGGCGACAGTTGTTTGGCCGGAGAGTAAGAATTCCAGTGAGCCAACGGTAGCTCCTCTTTCAGCTTTAAATAAAGCCAGTGTCTTAAGGAACGGGCCAAGTACGGCGGCAAAAGAGATGGGCCAAAGAGTTGCGGCTAACTGGAGGACTTCCAGTATATCGTCCCCGAACGAGCTTTGCTTCTGACCATTAAGTTGTCCAACGATTCCAAGTAGTGCTAAGAGTCGGTTAGCTTTGAGCACCAAGACCAATTCTGTTGTAGTCACCAAGATAGGAAGTAGGAACCACAAGTAGTAGCAAGTGCACACCAACGCGCCAAGTCCAGGTGGGTGAGCATTCCTTCAGCGTGGGAAGAGGTTTTCTGTCATCATCTGACCGCTTCAAAGTGTCAGCGGCCTGTGACGCTAATGGCATAAGCTGTATGTTCTCGGTACAGATTGAGGACTTCATCCTGGACTTGTATACTTCCTTTATGATAAAGGGAGGATGCGGGGTCAGCGTATTTAAGCTAAACGCTGGGCCCATATTCTCTTAGCACTGCCCTCATTAATGGTTTAGCTTCTGGAAATAAGGTTGACTGACCTTCCCCGTTTTGAACTCCATGTCTCACTGTACTGCGCCACTCATACGACAGTCGAAGAACTGAGACTTAAAAGTTGGTACGCCCACGGGTAATAGTTGTCTTGCTTAACACCGCATTGAAGCTAAAGGTATCAAATCTTCATGCCTGTTGTAATTATGTTTGCATCTTGGATTGCGTTCAGTAAGTACTTAAAGTCTCTTGCCCTTTGCCCAGGTGCTTGGTACCTCCGGGTTCTTTATTCCTCTGCCACAGGAGCCCATAGTACTCCATCCACTGACAAACTCTAGTGGCGCCTTTAGAATTAGAGCTACCATAAACTTCTGCATAACGCTTATTTCTTTATCTCAGTTAGGCCTAGGTAAGGCTTAATCTAGAGCTTAGTAGCTACTTAGCTTGCCACAGTGACATGTTCATTGGAGGTGTTTGCAGAAGCGTACTTAGCGTACCTAACCGGGCAACTGTTTCAATTTTTTGCCCCTTTTTGGGAGCTGTACAAATCTCACCTGAGCCTGTATAAGTGGGGACGAGTGCAGCCACTGGCGCGGTGGGCAGGGTAGCTTCAATTAGTAACCAACCATTTTGTGACGGGGTTCGAACCCTTGACCTTCGGGGGGGGGGGGGGGG